TGCAATCTGCAAACTTTTACTTCCTTTTTGTCAATGGACTGTAGACTCACTGAAGCACACTCCTGTTTTCTCTGTTGCTTGAACAGCACAACACAGACTCCAACACAAACAAAACAACAATGAAGTTTTATGTGCTAAAGGCCATCAGATTTATTGTGGTTTTACCAATTTTCACGTACACAGTTTTTCCACCTCTCAGTGCTGTAACTAACGTGACCCACATGATATACAATACTGCAACAAAATGGCGACAACAACACAGAGGAAGAGCTATCCACTAACACTACAGTAAAGTTACTTACTGCGGTTTAACTGTTTAAAGTGTGGCCACAATCTCAGTTATAATATTCAGTCTTGCTCACTAACCATTTCATTATCATCCAGTACATTTAGCTGTGCTCACATTGCTGAGTCTCCGGTGAAAGACACACAGAGAGGAATATTAGTTACTGAAAAGCAGCAAGCAAGCTGACGCAGATGTATCACGACGGCTAAATGCAGTAAATAGAGTCAGAATAGAGTCTGAACATTTTGGTGTGAAAAGCCACAGCCGGCATGCCGGTCTTTCCACGTTGATTGTGGGATCTCTGTATGAAAGCGGTTGTGTTTTGGATTATGCTCGCTCATGAGTTTGTGTACGAGCACATGCCCGGTTGCAGTCTTAAAACTGCACTGCTAGTGGCCGTATAGCCCCTTTGAAAGGACAGTGTCCATGTTTCTGTGTGTGGGACACGTGGACAGAACAAATATGAAAACAATACCTACTGTCTAGAAAGAACTACTGATAGAAATAAAAGATGCTAAAAGTAGCAGCCTCCTCAGCTGTGAGACATGTGCATACCTCAGCGAACCACTCAGTGAGTGAGACAGAGCAAAGGGGGGGATAATAGTTCATTCAAGATAAAAAACAAAACAGGTTTCTGCAATGCACCACTGATAAAATGAACTCTATCAAAGTTTAGTTGGTTAAAGCTGCAGTGGCCCTCCATTGACCCTTGACTTATGTAAATATGTCCTCCTTTTTTAAAGTGTGGTTGAAATTGATATATTATGTAGCAAACAAAAAGGTATGCTTGACCAAAAAAAACAAATGATTGGCTTTCAGAAATCATTATGCCATTGTAACATTATTATTACATTATGTTTTATATGTATTTTCCGCCATTTGTTTTAGATGTTTTCAATGACAACATGGCGATGAATCAGGGACATCTAGGATGGTACTGCTAATACTGGTAATTTGACAGATGGCAGACGCCGAGCTAGCCTTCTTGCAGTTGGACTTGTAAGTAACATTGCTGTGTCTTGTGCTGTCGCACTTGCTTGATGTTTGGCTGTGTTAGCAAAGTATTCCACTTGCTAGTTTTTGATAAGTAATTTAGTCATAACAAATGCACTTGCACAGCTGTCCTTATTTACAACAGTGGTGAATTACACTCTGAAACGGTAGGGGCGCCAAATTGCACTTACATAATGTTGCTTTAAATTAAAACAAAATGCACGTTTGCTGTACATGGACATCTGAACCGCTTGGTAAAGACTCATAATTAAAACAAACTGTGTGGTTAGTTGAAATTAAAGTGCTTAATGTGCAAAATAACCAGTAATTTAGCTTGAGTAAATATACCTTCCACCACTGAACGGGATAAAAAAAAACCCGACCCTGTCCCTGGCTACTAGGGAGCAGACAGACCTGCTCGAGGATGTCAGATGGGTCTTCCACAGAAATCAAAAGAGGATTAGAAATAGTGAACTGTAGTGAGCTTTTCATTCAGCCAGACTGATCTGTCTTGTCAACACAGGCCATGTGAAAAGGAATAATCTGGCCCCAGAGCAGGGCAGTCACAGCTGAGCGGCTCCTGTCAGAAAAGGTGATGGCCTACCTCTCACACACACACACACACACACACACACACACACACAGAGTCACTGCTCCAGCCTCTCTTTCTCATTGACCTCCATTCTTCCATTACCTTTCCGGGAATGTGCCAATTCCGTTGTGCAACACACCCCATCATTTACTCACTGTTTGAATTAGCTAATAGTTTATTGACTCTGGAATGCTGAGTGTCCCATATCATATTACGGAATGTTTTCTTTGTGAAAGTGGCTCTGAAGAAGAATTTACTATATAAAAACTTATGATTGAGACACACAGACATGACACATACTGTATATACAGCACAAGTGAAGAGCTTATAGAAGAGAAATGAACATCAATCCACCCCACTGCTGTCAGCTGTCTAATTTGCCATTCTGTAGGTGTGTTTACCCCTGAATCACTGTCTGTCACACTTGGCGGCCTCCAACAAACACACTGTCATGAAGTCAAGCAAAAGCCATTGGCTTTTATATTAGGGCTGCTGATGGATTGCCTTAGCCTTAATATGGGCGTGACAGACACTGTTTTTGTGTGTTGAATATCAGAGAACAAGAGAGTGCAAGCAAAGGAATATGACATTTATGTTTATCCCAGGGCTACTACTTGAGTCTGGTATTAACAACGACTTGTCTAACAACATTCGTGTGTCATTTTTTGACTTGGTTTCCTGGTCTCAGTGGATGTTATAAAAAGAAAAAATCACACATTCATTCTTCTCTGCCATACTTTAATACCTCAAACACTTTGAGTGATTACATCTGTGTGGGACAGACCTCAAACACTGATTAGTTAAAGACTAAAGGTAAGAACCTCTGCTTGTACTTCTGTGTTTCTTGAAGAAACTCATCAAGCACTGTCATTATCTTAGTGCTGGCTTTTCATGGTCAGATCTAATGCTTGTGTTTTGTACAAGTGTCCACAGGTATCTGTCCAAAATGGCTTAGCAAAGAAATACAGTCTACAGAACTATGCCTAACCCACACTGCTGAAGCCTCATATTAGCTCTGGCTACATTTTGCACAGAAAGAAGGATATGGATTTTCACAGCCAGTATGGAGAGGATGGATGATTACAGTTGCCTGTAATGAAAATGGTGGATTTTTCTCTCCAGCTTGGGAGCAAGTGCTTGCCCCTAAACAAGGTGTGGGTTCATGAGCGAAGTAGGGTTTAAATGTGTATGCTGGTGATGTGGAAGCATGAGAAATGGTGATCCATCATCTCGCCCTCCAAACAATCACGCTATGCAGTACTCCTTTGTCGCACTGGACAAACTCAACAGCGGCAGCATGGATTCAGCACAGCCACTCTGATGCACTTCCATCGCTCTGGATTTGACGCCATTGTTGGGTGTCGTGTTGCAAGTGACGTAAAAGACACAATTTGATTTGAGCGGTCCAGACTGTAGAAATCACATTTTAATCCTTGGTTGTAGTAATAATAGCAATAGTAGTATTTGGGGGTGGCAAAGGTGTATTAGTATTAGCATTTTTCCTTTTTGTTCCCCTGTGCTCCGCCTTAGCTCTGCACCTCCCTCTCTCCCTCTCCCGTCCACTTTATAGACTACTTCCTAGTCTGACAGCATGGGACACAGGAATATATGCAGACATGCTAAATCAGCACAACAGAGCAGCTGACAACTAATGTCACCTTGTTCTCTTGTTGGATGGACTTCTGTTAACTGTCCTGTATTTATTGTTTTGTTTTTCTTGTGTTGTCCAGTCAATGTTCTGTCTTTTGTCTTGCAGTAAAACATAAATAAAGACTGTATGGCTGGGTTTCCTTTAAAAAAATGTTTTAGCTTGCTGCAGTCACCACCCAGATCCGGATAAGTGGCTTAAAATGGATTGATGGATGGACATGTTGATCATCAGTGTTTTTGCTTATCTGTACCTCCAGTCATTTTCCATTGGGAGCAGCTGTCATGGGTATCAAGAAAGTGATCTCTAACACAGCCTTGAAGAGAGCAGTTCCACAAGACAGCTAGCGGCTCTGTGAAGCTGTACTTAGGCACATCAGTGCTTTGAGCTGAATCCTCGGGTCACACGTTCACAAAGTGGTTCACAATGACAATGCTATGGTAATGTTATAACCTACCTTGTTACACCCTGTGCCTTGCAACTTACCTCAGCATTTTAGAAAGTGGGGTGTGGGCACCACCAGGGGCTTCAAGAGGGCTTACAAATGGCACGCTCTTGCTCCCATCTACAGTAGCACAGTCTACATGTCTACAACTTTCACAGCATTAATAGGGGTTGAGTCACTCCACTGATTTAGCATTGCACTCCTATAGTGAAGTAATGAAAAAAAGAGTCAAAATCGATGCAGCAGAACCTGACATATTGTGTTTTTCATTCCATGCATTCTTATTCCTTGTCAAAACCTACATTACCCACAATGCAACCGGACTACCACCAGTTTGGTCAGGTGTGTCATGCTCATATATATGTGTGTGTGTATGTATGTATATATATATATGTGTGTGTGTGTGTATGTATATATATATATATGTGTGTCTGTGTGTATGTATATATATATATATATATATATATATATGTGTGTGTGTGTGTATGTATATATATATATATATATGTGTGTGTGTGTGTATGTATATATATATATGTGTGTGTGTGTGTGTGTGTGGTGTGTGTGTTTAGGGCCCATAAGAGGCCTGGGCAATCTCAGAAGTGTTTAATTTAAATGTTGTTCATATTATTTTGCCTATAATAAAATGAAGTGATGTCATGGGAATGGTTTTCAAATGAAAAACAACATTGCCACGACAGTAGTCTGATACAATAGATAGGACTAACAAAAATTCATACATTAACCATTTAATTATTTGCTCTAATAAAAAAGGCTATAAGTAGGCCTATCTAATCATCAACATCCAGGCCTGCAGTGGAGGATCAATCAACCTGGTCTCAGGTAACTCACAAATTTCCACTTGATCATTTATTTTGTTATTTCCATTTTATCTCTGTGCCTAAACTGTCAAAAAAGTGCCAAAAGGTGAGAAAACCTATTGTCATGAACAACAGAGAGAGCATAAATCCTTCTGGCTTGACTGACAGTTGGTTCCAGATGGGAGGGTCGATTCCGCTTCAAACCCCGTTAAGTCCCGCCTCACTGTGAGTATCTTGCTGGGGACTTGAGGATATAAAATGAAGGAACTTACTGTAACCAGGGCGCATTATGTAGTTGGAGTTCCCTTTGTGAACTCCCACACAGACATTAAAGTCAGTCCAATGCTTTAATCACCGCGCACACAGAGAGATATCGCTGCCGGCTTCCTCTCACTTGCAACCTGAAAAGATTTCATCAAGTCGCCGGGTAGAGACAGAGCAGAGCCATGGCAGGGGACGGGTCAGAGCAGCGGGCGCTGCAGTATGAACAAACTCTGGTAAGTTTGAGTTGTTGCCACTCTGAACTTTGTTCGCTGTTCCCCACAGTACGTGCAGCTCTCTTGCATGGAGAGGGAAGCCAGACTCCACTGACAAGTCTTTCAACTCAACGCTGCCTTTACACGTCTGGTAACGTTAACGTTACTAGCTAACGTCAACGATAACGTTACATGAAAGCGAGCAGTGAGAACGAATTGTGGTCCAAAGTTGAATTAAAATGAAATAAATGCGTGTTGGTGTAATATGTGTTCGCCGAATCAACCGCTGTGTCTCTGTGATTCGGGAAGTTTCTACTGGAGTGTGTGTATTTGCCGACAACCAAGGGTCAACTATAATCTGTCAGATTTTAAACGAAGTTCAGCCCCCCTGTAAACTCACGTGAAAATGAGCGATGTTTGTGGTATCGGAAGCCGCGGTGAATGGCTGAAGTCCGCAATTGCCCTGTTAAATAGGCTACTTGTGAAATAAGTAATTAAGGACACGTTTCTAAGTTATCTAACACCACACGTTGGAGGGATTTAGCTACTAGCTTTACAACAGCAGGCTATAGTAAAGGGAATTGTTGTCCTAACATCTGGATTTGGCTATCCCGATACAGGTAGTCTTGTCTCCTGTATGGGAAATGTATGGCCAAACTCCATTGTCAAAATTACATGCGCTTTAAGAAAGCTGTGTTTATTGCCTTAAACGCATCTTAGAAAATTACTTGATGCCTCTTTTGAATTTCAAACACGAGCTAATAAATTCGGAATATACATTATTTCATCCAGCATGTATTTATGTATAAAAATATCAACTTTTCCAGCCGGTTCGCCTTTGCCACACACCGTCTAGGTCCAACCCATGGTGGGCGGTAGCGAGTAGTGTGAAGCTTTAAAAAGTTATGTATGAACTGAAGTGCTGCTTGATTGATTAGCCGAATGAATTGCAAAAGGTCAGGAGTCTTGTTTTGTAAGGTAGCCTATGCATATGTGTCAAAAAGCTGATTAGCTGTCCCCTTAACAGATTTTTGAGTGTAATGAACTGTGCATTCAGAAACGTAATTTGGCAAATATCCTAATCTGTCTGCCATCATGAATTAAACCTACTACATGCAAGCAGATGATGTCATCTTTTCACAAACAGTACTGTAGTCAGTGGGGTTAATGTATGTGTCAGGACCTCAGCAAGTGTAGGCTGCACTGATATCCGCAACCACCATCCAACAATAGATCAGTTCATTGTTGTTATGCAGCTTGGGTGCTGAGAAATGCGCCTGTGTACACATGGATGTGTTGTGGGATGAGATGCATCTAACAGTTGTGCAGGTGTCCAGTGCTATGCCGTCTAATGTTTATGCAGGGCCCCCGTGTGTGAGCAGTGATTAAATATGAGCTTAGACTTTACTAAGTTACTCTATTACTTCATAACCTTTACCTATGGTAATGTTTAGCTTGCATAACAAACAGGCAGTTGTTGGGATTCATAGATGGTCTGCGCAGTTGAGCGAATGGTTTGAGATTAGACCTGTTTTATACAGCAGGGGGCTCTCAAACATTTTTATGTCACAGGCCCCTACAGGTCAGGGCACATTGACACCCACTTAACAGTTTGTTCTTGGGATCTCCATAAGGAGTGTTTTAAATTAATAATTAGTAATGCAATTTATTATGTAGAGATAACAGTGGTGAGGGAGAAACAAATTATTACTTTCTGATATAATTCTTATTCTCGTGTGTGTGTGTGTGTGTGTGTGTGTGTGTGTGTGGGTGTAGGTCTCTAGTTGAACTTTTCCTGACAAACTTCTGTCAAGCCTAAAGAATCTGCTATTTGAAGAGACAAGTTTTATAGGCCAACTGGACCCATTCAGTAGCAGCGAGGCCTTAAATTAAGAAAAGCCACAACTGTAACACTTCTTTGGGCCTCTGTTTCCTTTTTTCTTGAAAAAGTACCCCCCCCCCCCCCCTCCCCACTTACCCCGCTGCTCTCTGTGTGCTGTTAATCTGTGTGTTTGTGTGAGAGATTACACAACGTGCGACCCGCTGATTCAGCGCTGGACGCTGTGTCACGCTGGCGGGGTCTCGTGCTCGGCCCTCCGGCTCTCTGAAAGGAACCTGCAAGCAGCTCTCTGCAAAAAACTTCGTCCACACTACCACCTGTCGCAGCTCACCCTGCTGTGCTTAGATGATTGTTACATGAACTGGAATGTGAAAGCATCTAAATAGAATCAAATAAAAATAGCAACATTGTGAGAATAACCTCTTTTAACATAAATGAGTTCTCTCTCTGACCCCCATCTCCACGCCGTGGGTTGTAGTAACATGGTGTCTTTGTGTGATATTGGCAGTCATGGTGGTTGTGTGGGTTTGTTGTGGGCAGTGGATGCTCAAAGAGGCCAGTGTAGTTTGGCTGTGAGAGAGGCTTAAAGGCTGGCTACAGAGATGTTTGCAGGGCCAGGAGTAAGGAGCATTTGCAAAATAAAACCCGCCTCAACATATTGTCGCTTAACATCAGACTAGGGCTGCTCAATTATGGCAAAAATCATAATCACGATTATTTTGGTCAATATTAAGATTGCACGGTAGCTCATTGCATTTACTGAACTTTTAACGTGTGTGTGTATGTGTGTTTCATGTTTTTATATCCCGGTGGGGACTTGCACACTAACCAATGGGGACAAAAATTGAGGGTTAAGGCTTGGTTTTAGGGAGGGCCAGGAGCCACCACTGTAAAAGAAAGGGGTGCGCTGGGTTTATAACACAGACCATAGAACGTGAAGTCAGATTTGTGCTTGTCTCTTTAAATGATCTGTTAAAGGATATATGCAAAAAATTATTTCTGCATACCATTTACCTCTATGCTAATCTGCAAAGTAGGATTAGATGCTACAAGAGTGATCATTATTCTTCTGGGTTTCATGATCACCTAGGCCAAAATATTGTTTCAGAGGCATTTTCAAGGTTACAGGATGAAAGAAGTTTGGAAAGAGAATTTTTTGGCGTTGTGTCATTGGCAAAGACGTCCCTCAAAGAGCCCCAAATATCAGCACACAGCAGCGACGGTCGGAACATTTTAGTGTCGGCCGTCAACAATGAATGTCAGGGACATTCAGCAGTACGCCTGAAGAGGCTTGGCACGAGTTAAAGGGTAACTTTGTGATTTTTTTTCCCAACCTATTTTCCCATGCTTTTGTGTAGTTTTAAACTGAGTGCGCTGCAGTGGCCAACAAGCAAACAGGGCTGCAACCAGGGGTGGCTGGCCAGTAGAGGGCTTAGGGCCTAAAGAAAATACAACAACTTCTACATTTTATTTGTAATTCTCATTATTATTATTTTTTAAACGTTTTAATTTATATAAATTTTCAAGACACTTTGTCCTGGCTATGAATAGCATAGTCCAGTCAGTACAGTGCAAGTCATGTTCTGTGGAGTACTGTCAGTATACAAAGAAGATGTGATGAATTTTGTTGCTCAGAGTATTTGACTAAAATATGGTGGATGACAGACACAGGACTTTCACCTGGGAGATTGGGGTTTGGTTCCTGTGTGACCCTGAAAGTTAAATTTTGTGAGTAGCATGAATGGAACTACAGTCTTCATCTCATTATACAACTGTGTTATAGGGCTGGACAATAAAACAATAACAATAATTATCGCAATACAATTTTTTTTTTCAATAACAATTTAACAAATGTTCAATAAATCAATAAATATTTGACTTTATTCACTTGTTTTATTTTGTTGAGGGAAAAGGACGGGAAAAAGCTTTTACTTAATTTTAACCGTGCATATTTGTTGACAAAGATTTTATCATAATTGTTTTGAATGTTCTCCCTCAGGTTTGTGAAGTGATCCACTGTTTGACATCAAGTATTGACCATAAAGACGAGTTTAAACCACATTTAACCATTATTCAACTTTCACTCAGGAGCAAACATCATACTTTTTATCGTGATAACACTTTTGGCCATATCATCCAGCTCTACTGTGTTGTAAAATGACAAATAATAATAATAGTAAAAAATATCTCTCTGTTCAAATTCACCAGACTCCCTTGACAAAAACACTAATTGTACCTCTCTGGTCTACCGCTGCCTCAATCGGTTGGTTTGTTTGTGTTATTATGTCAGTTCAAAAAAATTGATCCTGTAAGAAATCAGTGTTTTTAACCCTTTTAAAACACCAAAGTCACACTATAACACAAACAAACGAACCGATCGAGGCTGCAATAGACATGCAACTCCAGTGTTCTGTGAGGCAAAATAACAGTTATACAGAAGGTACCCTTTTAAAGGTACCATACAGACCTGTCTTTACTGTTCACAGCAAATCATTTGCGGATCATTTTTCTATGAACCATAAGTTACATAATGCTGTGTGTAACTCATGCTCATACTCATACTGCCATACAGCAGTTGCATGTTGAAATTCTCTTTTAATTTTGGTGTGGTATGTTTACGTAACATAGTATCCATGTGTCATTAAATAATAAATGGACTGTCTTGTGATCAAAGGTAAAGTTTTATTAGGTGTTCTACAATAACATCAGTTGTGTCCCAACCACAAGTGAGAGTGAGATGCTAATATTTATGACATTTCATGTAGCGTGGAAGGATACAATTTATTACTACAGATTTGTAATAATTAACAGGATAATAATAATGATCCCAAATACAGGGTTTATGCCTAAATAATCTGTAAGGCTCTTAAAGGGGCACTCCACCAATCAACATCACGGACCACCACTGAGCCTGTGAAAACAGTTGTGTAATGTGTTCTGTTGCTCTGGAAGGAGCTTTCCAGAGTCTGGAAAATAATCAAATCAGGGTTATCTTGGATGGGGCTTGGTGAAGACAACAAACGGATGACAACAGAAAGCCTTTGTTACAAACTGGAGGCGAGAGTTTAAAAGATGTAGGCACTTTCCAGAGAGGGAGGGGCCAACAGAGGATGATTCATCGTGTGGTCAATAAAATGTCAAACCATTCTTCTCTTAATATAAGTTTATGCTTTATTAAAGT